ATGCATTAATTGAGAAACATAATACATCTATGCAGGGAGCAGCATTCTGCAAAAGCAATATCTGACATTCAGATGGTACAGATGAGATTCCACCGGCCTGACTGTGTAGCTAATGTAAACATCGTTCTGATTGAGACCATCAGAATACAAAAAGAATACAAGTTGTTAAAATGCTTCACACGTACACACTACTGATTAATGATAGTTAAATATCTGAATAAAATAGCAATGATGTTAAAATTATGAATGCAACTCATAAATGTATTGTAATTAATTCATATATATGGTAACTGCTTTATGGATAATGACCATATTATTCTACTTCCAGAGCACTGTACAATTGTATACATACATTTACAAATAAACTTAATTGTAACCACTATCGTTCATGTCATATTAATCTATTCTTAATGTATCACAACATTGCAATTCCACCCACAATAGGGAGTATAATGATCTTCACGTGGTTTCGGGAATGTTTTCGTGGTCATGTGATTTCACGATTCAGAACAAATGTCAAATGTTTTTTCGTTACTGTGAATGATTCGTGTTACAAATCAAATCAAGTTCACAAGAAATAGGGTAGGGGACTGAATGTAGATACAATACAAAGTCGACAGCTAGGTTGTGAGCCACAATGCTGCATTTATTCAAGACTTTGAGTTAAAAGCATAACACGAAATAATACTATACAATATACCGTAAGCATATTTGTTGGCGTTTAACCCAAACAATATGGAAATTTGGCATATTTCGTATTTGATAGTGAGCATTGATAAACATACCACATATTATTCGTTGGAAAAATAAATACGACAATGTGCGCGCGATTTGAATTAACAGCAGACTGCTAATCTAATGTATGGTGAGTGATAATCTGGTATACGATGGATGGTAATCTAGTGTACGGTGGGTGATAATCTACTTACTGATGAGCGACAATCTAGCGCAGGAAGACTGATAATCTAGCGTACGATGAATGGTAATCTAGTGTACGGTGGGTGATAATCTACTTACTGATGAGTTATAATCTAGCGCAGGAAGACTGATAATCTAGTATAGAGTGAGGGATAATCTAGTATATAATAAGTGATAATCTAGTGTACATTGCGTGATAATCTAGGGTACAGTGAGTTATAATCTAGCGTAGGGTGAGTGATAATCTAGTATAGAGTGAGTGATAATCTAGTGTATGGTGAGTTATAATCTAGCGTAGGGTGAGTGATAATCTAGTATATGATAAGCGATAATCTAGTGTACATTGCGATGATCTGATAATCTGGGTACAGTGAGTGATAATCTACTTGATAACGCTAGACGTGGATATGGCGAGATGAAGCCTTCTTTCATGGCGACAATCTTGGTCGATTCCATTCCCAAATGTGGATATTCTGGTTACCTGCACATTCAACACTTACAGATTCAAATTTACTCAGTACTTTGCTAGACATCTACATTTAAACATTTATTAGTTTTAGATATATTTTGAGTCAATAATTTGGCAAAGCAAATCGTTTGATGTTAGATAGAAATCCCCACAGCAAATATTTGGGTATTCCACAACAAATACTGTCTAGGAGTACATGTTTCAGTGAGAATTTGAGAGCAAAAGAACCCCACACTCAAAATGAAACAGTTATATCAAACGTTCTCTGATTTGATATTATTTAGTAAACAGAGACACACATAGTACTGTTTAAAAGCACCGTCAACGGAGCGTGATTAAAAAATGTCTCTGAGATTGACATTGACGATGACAGGCTAGACTAGACGAACCAACACTTCTTAACATCTTTATCGAATGCAAAACTTCTTGAAATTATCATCATTTTTTTAAATGGATGTCTCACAGAAAACGTGAAACGTTAGGCAGTGAAACTCACTACGGATTTTGTGTACTCCACATACTGTAGACATCAACCCGAACAAATGTGCTTTTGCGAGCCGCTATAATATATATGTATTTTTTTCAAACTAGTTTGTATGCAACTAGGTTGAGTATATTGTTATCTGATTTTTATCTACTTGGCACTCCTATATTCAGCGGATGATTGGGAGTACGTTGTGTGATGCGGAATAACACATTTACTAAATGAGCCGGCTAGCATCTATTCTAAACACGTCTAGCTAGTTTTCTGTTTAAAGCGGGGGTGTCGTCAGCTGCGCATGTGTCAAACGGCCAAAGCATAATTGTTTACAAACAAGCATCTACCCATGAGCCTTTGCGTGTTTAGCGTGTGTTGTTATCCTCGCTTGGGACTCGATTCCCGCGATCGCGAGTGCGCAGCAAAAGCGGTTGGGTTACGGCAATGTTCAAAATTCAGAAATTAAAATATATGGTAGCCGAAAATTGATCAAAAATGCGTGTTTACAATTAGCCCTATGGCAGAAATCATATCTCAAAATTTGGTCACATGCTTTTTTCTATCCTTTCTGTTTTGCATATATGTTAACCATTACACAACAATGTGTTAATGATATACTGTGATAATGTTTATGGCAGTTCCCTGATAACGTATTATGAAATGATGCAATAAAAATAATCCCGGGGTTCGGGGTGAGATTATTCTCAAAGTCGTTGACGACTTTTGTTTCATACCCGACAAAAAATCCCCAACTGAGAAATTTCATTCCAGGCCTTTAGGCGTTGGATTGTATTATTTCATAAGTCTTTTCACTGTTGTGCTTTTTCAAAAGAGACTATCGAGGCCAGTTTCGAGATGTTCGTGATGATGTATTTGTACATATATGACTAATATTAATAATCATTGAAACAATATTCATATTTTTTCATGCTGCGCGCTCGAATAATATACAACATACTTCTCGCAATACCACGTGTTATCTCCTGTATTATCCACAAATATCCTATAATTATTCATGTATCATGATTGTTCCATGAGATACAACCCATTGGATATTGTGTTTATTCATTGCTATATTCTGGTAATTTCTGACAATTACCAAGGTATAAAAATGCTACCCATGTAAAACTATAAATATGTTGGCTTTCCAAAAAAAATAGTAAAATCGTTTAGTGGTGGCCGTGAACTGAGTTCAAGAAACAACGTTCGTGTGCAAATGAGAAACGGAACGCGCTAAGAATAATTTGACGCGCTCACAGAGGTTACGTTTACATTGTATTAATATGGCGACAAAAAGCTGAGAAATGGATAGATGTCTACCAAAGGTGTCCGTGCATCATCACTAAGTCAATTTACATGCAGTATGACTGAAGTGCATGGACTGACTAACTGTGATGACTATAATAACACATAGCGTCAGAAAAACTAGCATGAACACCATAAAAACCTAAATGATCGTCAAGGGGGATATTTTTTATTCAAATTAAAAAGTTATGGGTCTGGTACAAAGCCCTGTTCATCTACAAGAAATGGTTCGAGACACATTTACAGGCTGCCATACTTTGAATTTCAAACAATTCGACAAATGTGTATAAATATATATGTTAATGAGGAATCAGCATGAACATGAATAAAAGCAAAATGGCCGCCAGTCGGCCATTTTTCTCGAATCTTTGTAACAATACGACGTATACCTGTAACATATTTTGCATGATCCCATTCCAAAGTTTGAATTGAATAGTCTTGTTCATCTCCGATAAACAGTCCCAGAGACGCAAAGTTGAAGGTCATATGTTAATCACCATACATGGTCTTTGATTAAGTTTGAATGTGATCGGTCAAAACGTGTCTCAGAAATGGCTCCGAAGGACGCACGGACGATAACCAACTACACTAGTTCAATTAATCCGATGTCACACGATCACTTATCGGGAATCCTCGATCTACGATGAGTGATAATCTAGAGTACGATGAACGATAATCTACTTTACCATGAGTAATGGTCTAGTGTACGACGAGTGATAATGTAGAGTACGATAATCTAGTATACTGAGTGATAATCTACTTTTCAATGAATGATAATCTAGTGTAAGCAGAGTGATAATATAGTGTGCAATGAGTAATTGTCTAGTGTACAAAGAGTGATAATCTAGAGCACGATGAGCGATAATACAAGGAGTGACGATCTATTGTATGATGAGTAACAATAGTGTACGATAAGAGATTATCTAGTATACTGAGTGATAATCTATTCTACGAAGAGTGATAATCTAGTGTATGATGATTGTTACTATATAGTACTGAGTGATAATCTACTTAACAATGAGTGATAATCTAGTCTACGAAGAGTGATAATCTAGTGTGTGATGAGCGATAATCTAGAGGACAATGTGTGATGATCTATTGTACGACGAGTGATAATCTAGTGTACGATGAGAGATAATCTATAGTATACTGAGTGATAATCTACTTAACAATGAGTGATAATCTAGTCTACAAAGAGTGATAATCTAGTGTGTGATGAGCGATAATCTATAAGACATTGAGTGATAATCTATCGTACAAAGAGTGATAATGTAGTGTACGATGAGAGATAATCTACTATACTGTGAGTGACAATATACTTTACAATGAGCGATAATCTAGCCTACGAAGAGTGATAATGTAGTCTACGATGAGCGATAATCTAGATAACATTGATTGATAATCTAGACTACGAAGAGTGACAATGTAGTGTACGATGAGAGATAATCATACTGTGAGTGACAATATACTTTACAATGAGCGATTATCTAGACTACGAAGAGTGATAATGTAGTGTACGATAATCTAGTATACTGAGTGATAATCTACTTTACAATGAGAAATAGTCCGCTGTACGAAGAGTGATAATGTAGTGTACGATGATCGATAATTCAGTGTGCATAATAACATGCAATATCAGGTTCTACTGCACAATGAATTATCTTCACACAACCATTAAACTCTCCTCTGTGATTACCCCCCACCCCCTCCGCCTCCTGCAACTATTGGGTAAATGTTGACACTTCTTCATTATTCGTGGTGCTTCTTTAAAATATAAAGGAAAGGGGCATATTACGCAGCAAAACAAGTAAACGACAAAATAATACATACCTGTTCATAAATGGAATTTGGAATCCTGTGCTGGCAAGTAGCTGGTGGTGGTGGTGCCCTGTTGTTTTCTTTCGTTATTTTCTTCTGTGACTGCCAAAAATTGTAATTGACGATGGCGTATTCCAACAAAGCAGCGAAGACGAACGCAAAGCTCGTCACAAGGTAGATATCAATAGCTTTAATGTAAGAGATTCGAGGCAACGAGGCGCGGACACTTGTACTTATTGTTGTCATTGTTAATACAGTTGTAATTCCTGGAAAATAATGGACAATTGTTTACAGGTAAGTAAACATATATAAGTATTTACACATTGTAATGACTGTTAGTAACAGAATGAACCATTCGTCACAAAACTAAAATGCACGCATGAACAATGTTTATTTTTTTTTAAATTTAAGCTACGTTTAAAGAAGACAGATAAGCAAGAGACACACACAGATTAACGAGAGACGAGAAGAGAACGGATTAGCGTGCAGCCACTGATAGACCTACTTACACATCCGACATTACACAGCGGTTTCAGCAGCTAGTCCTCTTTCCTGCCGCGCTTAAACGGTTATTGATTTGGAAAATATATTTTTTTTTACCATATTCGATTTCACGAATGCCATAATAAATACTATAAATTATTGTCAATAATAATTAATAAATACAGTTTGAAACAAGATCGTGAAATCGGCCGAGTAGGTCTGAAGAACTAGGTGGAACGGCAGCTGCTACGCTGATACTACATTTATTAAATGGAAAACGAAAACGAGTCCTTACCGATAGTGGTGCGAGCAGTCTCGACCTGTTTATTCGCCGCCACTAGAATCAAGGAACAAAATTTCCATTTTTTACTTTTGTGTTGTCAAAAAATAGTGTGAAGTGCTTGAAATAGGAAAAGGAAATACGAAGAATGCAGTGGACGTGTAGACATGGCAGGTAAAAGAGGACTAACTTCACCACTTCGACTTTAACCTTTAATAATTGCATGATGATAACCAGGTCAGGGGTCAGAAAGAATCTTAATAGCCGAGGGCCACATGTCAATTAGTGCGTAAAAACAATTACGTAATTTTTATTATCGGCGAGGATCTTACAAAAAAGAAAAGAAAAACGATTCCCCTGGTCATTCGATGAGCATAGAAAATGAAAATTTACCAACACAAGTTATTGTATACCCAATCGTTTGATGTGTCATGATTTAAAACGCTGTATTATTATTTACATCGATAATATCGGATTAAACCATCGATGAACACGACGTGTCTGATGCGAGGTCACCGCAGGTTAAACGACTTATTAGTACGTGTTCAGTGAATATGTATTTAGTGAACCGACTCGAAAGTAGTGGCAGTGCTATTTGCATGTTTAGCAGCACTACTGAAACATTCAATTATATTTTGCTGTTAAAAACAGTATGACTAATTAAATCGAAAAGGGTAATTTAAGATATCTAATTGAGGTTTCGAGTCCATTCGTTTAGTCTGCCGTTAAAATACTACATAAAAGTAGAAAGCAAGTAACAATCCTCATCAGATTGAGCGGTTGTTATGCCTAACCACTGCTACCTTCAACAATATATTTGTTAATGTACATTACGTTTCAATAGATAGTTAAAACTTATTCAGTGCTTTCTGTGGTTAACTGTGTTTTCTAACTCCAACAAAATGACAATACATACCCTATATGTAATTGACGAAAGACAACTCTGAGTGTATGGTGATCATGATATATTATTAGCCGCCCTGTCATATATTCGAAAGAACATGGAACCTTTCTTAATTAAAGATTATAAGTCTTGTTAATCTTTTTTTAATTAACTTGGCACAGACGAAACACATAAGCGAACCATACGATATATAATATTATGTAAATTTGAATAGGCAAAACACATTCCTTTGATTGGATTTGACAACAGCAATCGATTTAATTTAACGTATAAATTAACAATATACATTGTTTTGTTGATTAAACTTTAAACAACATCAAGGTCAGTAAGTTAAAATCAAAATTTAATTACTTTATCAAATAGTAATATTGACGAAAACATGTCTGATTGTATTTTTTACCAAACATCAATACTGTGTTATATTTAAATAGACAATAATGCATTGAATGTAGTGTTACAATTGAATAATGACTAACATAAATATTAATTTAATTTGATGTTGTTTCTGTTTGATTTAGGTTATTATAAATTAATATTGTGTTACCTTGACAAAAAATGATAAAACAGTGTTCAGAACATCAGTAAATTTACAAGCGCAATTCTTTTGTTGATTTTGAGTAAACAAACACCTATGTTGTGTTACATTTAAATTGAATTAAAAGTTAAATATCAATATTGAGTTACATTTAAAATGACAATACATATTCTATTGTTAGTTTAAATTAAACATTAATTAGAATGGAAGTAAACATTGTTTTTAAAATTTAGGTTAATAAACATTGTTATTGTATTACATTTAAATCGACAAAAAAATGTTTTAAGTTAGGTTCGTCAACGGGTTAACGGGTTCTAAAGTGAAAAACCATCAATTTGATTTTTTGATATTTTTTACTCAGAGACCTCTTTACCTACTGAAAAGTAAATTTCTTTTCCTAAAGAGTTAAGTGCTTATAATAATAGTTTAAATACAACTAGTGTTAGACAGATAATTCAATGAGGTCAAGCTGTGCGATATAAACTGTGTTATAGCGTATTTTAACTCATCTAAATCATCAAATGTAACATAACAGCCAGCGAACTAATATACTCGATGACGTCACAGCACACCTAACTCAATGGACTATATTGTGTAGCACATTATTTAAGAACCCCTAAAACTAAAAAGTAGCAGTATAAAATATATAATTTATCTATTTTGGATTGACGAATTCTGTGAAAATATCTAGGCATTATTTCAATATGAACATGAACAAATTAAGAGAGTTTACTCCAATCTCTGCACGCTATAGACACCCGTGTTAATTGTAAATTGGAAATGTTCAGATAAAGAAAAAAACGCTATCGAAACTGTGTCCAACCTTTGCTTGATCCACTCTATTACATGTAGTGCTGAATGGAGGGGTGCACATTTTGTTTCAACACTATCATATGCGACACGGCATTGGATGAATGACGTTATTTGTGTCTGTTCACATACTAAGGGCACGCAAAATGTAAAGATGAAACAAAGAACAACAATTTCACTAATTTGAAGACCACATGTGGAGGTTCCTACAAATACAGGAGACTTACTGTAAATTACTTAGGCGAACTGAATGAATGGCCCACTAGCAAAAACGATTGGAAGCTCACTGGCATGCAAACACAACATTGTCTTTAAGTTCATTGTCAGTTAAAGGTCAAGTTTCATTACACCACGAGAGAAAATTAATGGCCTGATTTGCTAATTTGAATAATTATACCTAATTATCGTAGATTGTTCCAATGGAAGTTAATTGAGCATAACATTCACCATAGTTAAACCGACGCCTACCTAAGGCAGGTACCACTAGAGACTATGCAATCTGTTTATTATGAGGATCACCGTTCTGCCATCGGGTGGATAATAAAAGAAATATATAGATCAGCGAGCACAATTTACAGCGGTTTGAGAACAGAAGAATTCGACACATGTGCCCAGTAAGTCATTCACCGTATGTGGTATTTCGTCAAGCAATACTCATTGTGTTGTGCTATACTGTGTTAACAACTCCATATGTATGGTACGAACTTAAATATATCATGTCGGATTGGGATGACGTCAATCAACTAACCAACTGACTATACACATGGAAAACGTTAGCCAAACTGCAAACTAACTTACTGATCAAACACTCAAATGCCGAAGCATCACAACCAATCAACTGATAACCTGATGCAACCTACCGATACACATAACCATTTAACTAACCAAACTACTAACTAGCTCGCTACAAACCAATCAAAAGACCACAGACAAACCTTATGGTTATGCTTATTTATGCCAATTGAAAAGATTAGTAATGTTCGTGCTGTAACTTATTCTGTGTCGAAATTTAACCAGTACATATCTTTAATGGCTTGGGTTATGTTGTTTACGTTATGTCTTACTTAATGAAACTCAATGGTGTGTTGTATGGTGAAAATAAAATATACCAGCAATTCCATTCGCGTGGTACATTAATTATTTATATATTTAAAACTGAATTAGGGGAAATGTCATTATTATATTTGGGTATTAAACTGTCGAATTTTATGCATAGTGCACACTCGTAAAAAAACAAATAATAAGTTGAGCGTGGCTGTTCTTATGAGCAAAATACCGTCAATAATGGGTGTAACGCGGTGGTTGTCAATTGAACGATACCTTTAAAGGTTACCGACCCCGAAAACACGACTAAGCTTATAACCAGCAGCTTGTTTATATATATATATATATAAAATACCATGTTAAAGACGAACTGGTTGGAAATCGCTAACACGTCTTCCTGAAATCGGATTTGTGCTACAGCAAATGGCCCAGTATTACGTAATTACTTGGAGGGAAACTCTCTAAGGGTGTCCGTACTAATGTTATAAACAAACTAAAGGCCTTCATTGCCATGGCTGAATTATTCTGAGGCACTCCGCTCCACACCACCCCTATTACGTTTACACACGTTTGAAATTACAATTTCGTAGATCGATCTAATGTGGCGGTTGGTAAAATAAAATATTCAAGTAATATAGTGGAGATATTACGGAATTATGTATCGAGTGGACTCTCTTCATTCCTTTTTAATGAACGAAACGCCATCTGATAAGGATCTTTTTAATAATGCGCGGCATATTACGGTGGCGATCAGTGCTCTCAAAATATTGTTGATGATTACTTTGATTCCATGAAGAGATCAATTATATGTATTACTTTAATAATATAATACTAATTATTGTGGAAATAATGATGATTATCATTGGCCATTTTTGGGATGTAAGCGGCCGTCTTACGATTTCGCGATTAATATAATAACAACTTTCATTTTATTACCTGCAATAGTCAGGGAAGAGTTAGTTAGTTTTATGGAGGTAACATATACCGTATCTCATTGGAAAACTTGACAAATTGCTTCAAGGAAGCTCATTACGACAATCATTACGCGTACACGTCTTGTCAGGGAAACCATTACCATGGAGAGAAAAGGCGTAGAAAACGGCCGAGTGAACAGCTCGCCAAGGCGATCACGGGTGAACTATTAAATTATTATAAACGAAAGGTTATAAAGCGACGAAAGGTATTACTACAATTTGGTCCAAACTGTAATACTGTTCACCGTCTTGCCATTCCGTTGCAATCTGCTGGATTTTCTTTTTCATGTAAACACCCCTCCCCCCGAATTCGGAGTAATGGAATCGTCCGTCATTGCATGCAGTAGATACTCATTTCCTGTATAAACATGTCTGTTGCACTGCTGTCAAATCCTCAACATTAAATAAACCAAACAACAATAGCACGACACTTTAATAACATCATGATGACGTAAGTGGACCATAAATCTTATATATATATTTTCATGGAGGATGATCATATCGTAATCGGGAATAACGAAAACGTGGTCCGGCGCGACATTCAATGTTAGAATTGGCATGGAATTATTATATACCACACTGATCTTGTTATTGAATCATTCGCTCATAAATTGTAACGCTGAAAAAAATATACATTGCGTATTGAAAGATCTTTGATTGATACATTCCACAAATCATTTGTTGCTCATTATCGGTTTATGTACTATTCGTTTTAATTGCAACACTATCTTCTCCCAATATCTTGGAAATATATTGCGAATAATTAAGAGATTACAATCTAATGTGTAAAAGTACTTACTACATGAATTAATGGAAAACGGGAATTTTTAAGGGGCTGAAGTAGGGTTATGTTCCACTAATGACATACCAAATGACGAAATGTAATTTATATGGTATGATAGGATTTTTCCAATTTATAACGCCTTATGATGACAGTTGCATATTTAAATCTGTTTGTCTAAGGGCTCATTTGGTAATAGCCACGTGTCTGATTTACTCGATCAGTTTTTTTGCCTATTCGAATTTCGCCTAACGGTACACAGTGCGCGTATTCCATTGAATAAGCGCCCGGTTGGCTGATAATCAAAACGGAAATTCCACTCGTACCGCGAGTAAAGGAAATGGCAAGACTTACCGAGCGCAACTCTGGCTGATGTAGCTTCATGATTAATCCAGAAGGAGACCCATGATAACATAACAATCAATATACAAGGTAGATAGGTTTGCAGGATGAAGAAACCCACGCTCCTTCTAAGACGGAATTCTAACGATAGCCTTGGATAAGAACCTGGAAAGGATACATTTGACACATATTGAATAGAACGCGATCACGGTAACATTTATTGATTTTTCATAATTAATTAAACTTTATGTTAACAACATATAGTGGTTGATGGTGTGGTGATGGGAGGAGTATTTTACTAAATAATCACAACGGGCCATAGTACGATAATCTATTTCACTACTTTCTGGTTCCATATTGATGCTTTAATTTAGGTGAATTGTTAATCAAGGAGAGGGGTGTTTTCGGTCGACTGATATAATGATTTTACAGAGGTGGTAATGCATTATGTGAAATATTAGTAGTGTTCGTTGACCACTGACATGGTCAATATTATTTTACTGGAATTGGGTATTTTTGCATTTGGAAACATTATAAGTCATACAAGAATTCCACAACTGCCTTTCATTGTACAACGGATGGCGTTATTTGGGTGACGTCATATGATGTCCAATGCATTCTCTTACCGGTTGAAAATGCTGCTTGTCTTTTCACCAATCTGTATTCTTCTAAAACAAACTGTGGCAGTTGTACGTCTTCCAAACCTTGGACGGAACGATTGCCATATTGCCACGCATAAGTCACATCCTCGGTTGTATAACCATCTATTAAAAAACACACAAATATCATGGGAATTCAATTGGACAGCCACCCTTGAACATTTAGTAATATTTCAATAGCACGATTCTGACGTCATAATAATACTTCCTGGTCAAAACATTTTATTTTGCGTCAAATCCAATCAATTTGATGATTCCAAAAGTGTACAATTAGCGCGAGTTATGCTTGACAAATACGCGTTATTCAAGAGAACACAGAGTGGGTATACACACGAACACTGTTTTGTCAATGATTTGACGTATTTTGACAGCTGTCCGTGATGCAAGAGAAGGTTTCAAATTACCGTTAGTGGTCTACACGGTTTTCCACCTTGAAATCATATTTACTCGCCTTTTCTTTGTTTGAGTATAAACACAATGCAGATAACAAAAATAACGATTCTTACGATCGTACACATCGTTTTAGGAAATGCTGGCAGATAAAACATACAATTATTGTAAAAAAGGATAATTTGCCCTTTTAACAGAAAGACAATAACCACGTGTATAAGCGCGTGGCCTGGGGATATGGGCGTGCCATCATCTTGTTAAGGACTACATCAAACAAATTGAGAATCCACATAATGAAACCATATCATCGAACTGACGCAGACGCATGCGCATAATAGTTGATTTATTGCTCGCACAGATATTTTCCACGGTGGATTGTGTGGCATAATGTACACTATTTGTATTCTTTCCGAGTGTGCAGGTAAAGAAATGATCAGAAAATAGAAATTCGGATAATCATCCTGCCCACATCATTAGATACTATCGGAAAATTCGACTACCTTCTGTATTGAGCTCACGTCACTATTGATTTGCGGTCAAACAACCATTAAAATCCCTCATAGATTTTATAACCAGTCCAATGAAACTCACAAAACCTTTGGTGTAATTGAATTGAAGCTTTTTCCCAATGTAATGTAGAATTCTTGTCAGCTCAATCACCTAGGGACAGCGTAGTCAACTCTCAAACAATTCTCTTGCGCGTTTATGAATCTAATCTCAAACAATTTGCCAATTAATTTGTTTCTTCAAGTTGTTGATGTTCTGGTCTTAGAGAGCCGACTGATCTCACCCACACTATACAAGTTCTCTCTCCACTCACTCTCACATGTGTCATGTTCTATTATAGCCCACCGGATTGTGGCGTTATATTGGACGCGATTCTATGTCTGCTCCCTCTCATTAGAAACACGTTGTAACTAAGGCGACCGTATCTTTTCTATGCTGAACTTAGAGATTTACGTAAACACAGTGCTATGAAGGGCGTGAAACACCAATTACATGTGAACAATTGAAGTTCGTATAACATATCAAAAAGAAATATTTGAGGCAATAATTTGGATTATTGGCTTATTATAAGGATTACACATGTCATATACATTGATTAGATTACTCGCGGTCTCGCGGGGATGAAGTGTCAACTCTACAATCTTATATTGTCAGTACATTATTCTGTATAGACTTAGAATCCTTAGGATACGTCGGATGTGCAGACGCTTTAAGTGGTAAGACACTGTAACATTTACCACCTGAGCCAATAGATTGTCGAATGGTTCACGAAGCAAGTCACTGCAGCACAAAAATGTACTATACAATCAAGTGTGTAAAATGGGACTAATGACAGGATCAGTCGAAGAAGAGGTCTCCCTTCGTCACCATATGCCGAAGACATGATGGACATTTTAAATAACCTCTGATTGGCGAGGTATTCTGCCCGTCATAGCGCATAGAAAACGAAGTTGCATTTAAACAGGTATATGATATTGTGACCCAAGTAACGCACGAGATGTGGTTATCAATGAGGTCTGTTTTTACTTCAAGGGGAGCGGCAGATGAACTATGAATAGATTATATGCAAGATAGCACCTCTGAAAAAAGTCACGTGCGCGCTTAATTTATATATATATATATCTGTATTACGTATGGCGGAGAGCGTAGAGTAACAAGCGAGTTATTTTACCCTTATCGATTATAATATTGATTTTCGTCTTGTTTCTATAAAATCCAACCAACTACGGTTAATAAAGGTACATATATGACGTTATCATGGAGACATGAGAGCCATCGATAAATAACGATCGTAGTAAACACCCCCCCCCCCAACAGATCTTACGAAAACTATGATGTCATTATGTATATTATGTATACGAGTATATGTGTCCACAATGTAACGTCAAACAACCGAGTATTGATATGGTATCGGTGATTTCAAAACAGAGTAGCATTAGTAGCCATTTAAAAGACGCCGAAAGCGATTTTTTAAGAAATCGCATAATTTGAGTTGAATATAGGTTGATTATGCGTTGAGTAGGGCCCTTAGACGGACGAGGTTAATGCCTCGTGTGTATGTATTTAAGCAATGTGATCAAATCTATATAGGGACATAATGTGATGGGTAGGATATTTTTTGATGCTAGTTTTTTTTTTCTCTCTACCATGCTTATAATTGGCTATGAGTCTATAGCAAAACGGCTCTATTTATACATGATATATAAACACGTTAAGCCCAGCAGTTATTTTATTTTATCACTGTAACGTAATGAATAGTTTGTCAGAGCGATACGAGCGTGATGATAAAGTCGAATAACATTAGTTGGGCAGCGCAATTAGCGAGCCTAGTACACCTCTAGCGCTTTGTTCGCCTTATCTTGGCGTACGCTCAACGGGGTGCAATATAACCTAGTCTATAATAAAGTGAAAATTTTGGCAGTCTTTCAGAATTGGACGCCTCCAAGGCTGATCAGCATCTGATCAAATTTCTAGGCGTCTTTGTCTTCATTAGGGAGTAGTCTTTTTGTCTATAAATAATTCCCAAATCTGCTTACATGGCATGACGTCACGATGTTATCATATTTCCTACAATGTTGCAAAGAAGGAAATCGAATCGAGTGAATGCAGCAAAGTTGAAACATCATCAAAATGCAATTGACTGCTGCCGTTCACATACAGTGTGTGGCTAATCACTAATTGCATTTTCCCTATCTTTCTTCCGTCCGTATTCAGTAACACACACTCCTCATCAAGATCTGCCCGGGTGTCTATTTTTTTTTTAAATGTGGACACGAAACTAGTTTATCAGATGATTTTGTTAATCATATGCAATTCATGCCGTCATTACGTAACGTAATTCTATTTGGAATAGGCGTAGGATGTATCAGTTTCTTACAACAGCAAATGTCGAAGACATTTATAGCTAAAAATAGAATTTGTAATTGTTTTCTGCTTTCAATGTTTGTAGAATTTTTGCAACATTGTTCGACGTCAAGTTCCATTTGCTGCATCCCTATCTTTCATCACCATCTATTAAAATATATTTCTGTAGTGATGACGTCAGAATGGTATGAACGATTTTCTGCTCGGGCTACAATAGTTCCAAATTGAAAACAACTCGTATTTAACGTAAATATTTTTGTTCTATTTTCTTTTTCACGCGGCATTTTCTTTTCAACAATGGTTACTTGGTATTTTTTTTTTGTTTGGCGAGAGAAATACGCGTACAAGATAAAATCAAATTACACTTTTGAAGCGCTACCTGTAAATAGAGTTAATCTTTTGTCATTTATATCTAACAATATTATGTAGACAGCAAATCAAGATAAAATTCAACTTACAACTTTCGATTTCCAGGGTACAGTTCTGGACGTCAAGGGGGTAATCGTGGAGATCCATCATGCACGATAACACCGTCGTTATTCTACAGAAAAACAAAATACAAATGTAACACTGGTCATGCCGCTTTTGAAACAATAAATAATTAAAGAAACTACATAGAGCCATAAAAATTGATTTACTGAACAACGAGATATGCAAATAAGCAGATGATTAAGAGTGTATGGTATCATTTACAATCTGGTCGACATTCTTTGTAGTCGCGCGTGCAACGACGTATAGTAGGCCTTTGTCATTTTCCCCCGTTTTTTTTTTTAAACAATTTTGATAATGATCGACGGGCAATGGAATATTATGCCAATTTGGTCCAAAATTAGCAAAGAAATTATAGAAAAATAAATTAAAATGTGCATAATGTTGTGGCAGTGTTTTGGCGGGAAAAGAATTATGATAGCGTTTTTCAAAACTGCATTCTAAATGTGCAACGTTGTGAAACGTGCATCGAGGTTTAGGGAGAGTGTGGGAAATGGCTAAAAGAAGCTGAAACCAAAGATGAATAAACAGAATGGGAAACGAAATGATGCGTAAAATGATGTGGCGGCGTCACCAGCGTACGCGTTGACCTGAACGCGGAGCATATGGTCGTGTAAAACCCACCCACCTTAGCCCGTAGAGAACGCTGCCGTCGTAGTGGAAACGAATCATTCGGTTGGCGACTGTCACGTCGTGGATGAACGCGTGCTTGTCGTTGACAAAATAGGTGTCTGGAACCCATATTCTATTGGCCATTCGACCATCAAATGAAATATTACCAAATCTTGGATCATACGCTAGCCGCTCGTCTTTCCAGTACTGTCTGAAATACATCGTGAGGGTGTAATCCTAGACAAAACAGATGGCAATGAAACATACATGTCACACAGTACCAGGGCTAAACAATCTCCCACTCGAGAGAGTATAACATGGAAACGATATTCAAGAAGTTACCATGGCTACGAGTTTAAATTAAACCGTGCGTTCTTTTTTTTTTTGGGGGGGGGGTAATTGTTTACGTTAAACAACTAGCCCACACTTCTTGTGACCTGTGACATTTGCCTCCCGTTTAATAAACAGTATTTTTGTTATTGTTTTGTTATTTTGTACCTCACACAAGACGTCATTGACTGAAGGTAATTGTGGTAAATGAACAAAAATCACTTTTCAATATTTCCCATCGATCACATTGACTACCTAGTCAGAGTAGGATATGACGTCAAACTTTGGCCAAATACCTCAAGAAAAAACGTGGACTATTATTACAATGGCATCATACCGTTATTTCAATATTTTGCTTGGAATTATTTAGTCTGAATGCTATCCTCCAGACGTCGAGGATATGGCGAGGCTAGAGTAAATATCACTACTGATCACATTTGTTTTCATACGTGGAAATAAACTGCCGCTTATATACATATATTATACAAAACTATAATTTGAAAATAAATCAGAAGAACCTACATGTAGGTACATCATATTGATGATATCGCAGACAAATAATAAGCATGGTACAAGGTACAGCCAATCAGTTGCCATTTTGTTTAGGTCCTAATGGTACAATCTATACATGTTTGTGGGTTTCCTGCCCAATTTAATACGGAAGAAACTAACCACTTACAAATCACTGGGACAGAGTTAATACGACTCGACACACGTTCCAAGTCTATGTTATAACCCTATAACCAGCAGTTGATGGAACAAGTCCCGTGGAAACACACTAAGTATATGAAAATATGCCACAGTGAATTTAAAAACACAAAGGTAATGAAGCAAAGTATTACATTTTCTATGCTCGGGTAAGCTTATTATATTATATTGACAATCGACATCAATTTTTACGTTTTGTCCCGTTAGAATTGTCTTGTGTTTTTTTTAAAAAGCATAATGCCGTGCTTTTCAAATACGCGTAAGCAATCTAAACGGCGTTGATGGGCCTACATGTAGCATAGGTATACTGGCTAATAAAAATAATGATGTGGACAGGGTGGAACAATATATTTTTGCACGCCGTGCAAGGAGAACAAAACAAAATGGCTACAGATACTATCAACTTTACAAAATACAATTAAACTCCCTGTCGTGCAAGTAAAATAATACAAACAAAAACACGCAATTAACCCGTAATTAGTGCTTCATATCAAATTAATTACAAATTGTTATTAAATTTCAAAGATGACTGCATGAGTTGTTAGCGGAACGGGAGTTGAGCCTAATATGTGTGTGGTTGATATTTACTAGTGAAGATAATCATTTTCTAAGCCGTGGCAGCTATACCCAAATACCTCGGGTATTAAATGTCACATTGGTTATAACGTGACAAAAACGGTGTCGAGCTTATCCGAATACTAACAGTTATTTAATTGTTTTTAATATTCGTTTACCCACTACAAATGCGGAAAATAAAAGCGTTGATGAAAACCGACAAAGACGGGAAAGACTGTGAACGACCCCCCGGGGATTAAGCAGGCGTCGACTAGCATGCAGTTTGTTTTGTATACACTGAGGAAGAAGACATAGCACAAATTGTGGGTTTCAATGAGAGCCTGAGTAAAGCGGGTGACGCTCGTCTAATGGTTGATATTCACTCTACACACGCATTCATGGAAAAGTTAAACTAAATAGACTAGAAAATATAGTAACTCACAGACTAATTTGAATATCGCATATAGTTATTAAAATGATGCTTTTTCTAGCATAAACTTCAAACTCGTGGGTGACGTCACACCAACCACAATATCTATATGTCGAAATGTGACTCAAATTCCTTGTTTCATGCGTTCAACCAATGCGCTCCCACGAAATAATTACCACTCGGGGAGATTTCTTAGGGATATATAAAAAGGTCGCCTCAGAATAATTTCCGAATCCCGAATAAATAAGACGGTGTTACTATGGGGGATTATATCAACGCTGCTGTTGATATAAAAACAAAATCGCTAGATCCATGATAATAATGGAAATGTGAAATTACAAAATTCATTTAATTCTTGAATACCAATTTCAGAGTATAAAAAATTGTAGCGACTTATTATAGATAGCAGAAGGTATTGTACATAGACTGTCAATGGTTTAACGTGCAGATACTTATCCATAGTAACGGGATGCCATCCCCCTCCAGTGAACCCACGTCAAAAAAAACCGTGTCACCTTTTAATCCGCCCATACCGAGTGAGCCACACATACGATACTATGCAAGCGTGCATGCAATCAATGTGGTGAGATATTATGATACAGTCGCACCTTCAATCCCTGGTCAGTCTTTCAACTGAGACACAGCCAAACATTATATATTACCAGACTGGTACGTATTACTTTTTTTTTTACATCTACGCAACTAAGAACAACGAACAAGTGTAAATTTGTCTTACCATGTTGACTTCCGATATACTATTCATGCTGGAGATATCCATGTCCATTTCCACTGTGACGGGCGAGTCTGTAAATAGCCCATCATTTGTGTGTTAAAGAAATATGTGAATTAAACACACACAAAAAAACACACACACACACAGCTAAGTTCCCCGTCGGGCATACCTGCGTCGTCCACAAATAAACTCGATGATACCTCCAATTATTTTGTAATACTTAATAAAAAAAATTACCTACCTCCGAAATTGGGCCGTAACCGAATATCATAGGTTTTCAGTATCGAATCGATAGTAGAAGTGATATTTAAATAATCGGCAGCATCATCATCAGCTACCATGTACTCTAGATCTAAATTCGCCCTATGAAATAAACAGACCAGAGTGTATGAAGTGGCAACGTTCCCAGCTTGAAACCCCTACCACCGGGAGAAAAGCGCCACGAATTCAGATCGATATATAGCGTATGTACGAGCCGCTGATATACTTACCCTATCCAGGTTACATAGCATACACTTAATAGTAGTTGGGGCAGTAGCACGTTACTTGACCACATAGTTCGTCGTCGGTGGATGTTCTTTACAGTCGCACTAATAAATAAATAAATCACAACGTATGCGTGTACGTATAAGACTCAATTTTTATGATCGATGCCTCGAACAGCCACACCAACCCGAATTGTAAAATCCGTACTACACATGCGCAGTCGTTATCCACGTTCTCATTAGTATATAAGGTATTGCCGGAGCTTTGGTTATAGTAGCTTCGGAGAGAGAGAAAAAAAAAACACTCTTAAAGGCAATAATCTACTTCAGCTAAACCATAGCGCGAATGCAATATTAAAAATAAAAAATCGGAACATTGTCTTATTTAACGACTGAAAGGGAGCACAATGTAAGTATTGACGACTGAGCGTTCAGTAGATAGTAAAGAATGACGTTGGATAATACATCATCGCTTGGCGTTGTTCATTCAATATTCTTATTGACGCAGTCCTCGTTAACTTCTGCCGTAAAATAACGTTTGTCTCGATTCTTTCCGCTCCCGTGAACACACATTTTTGCCGCCACAAAAACACCCTGATTATGTTCCTTGTTTAAGACCGCTCAACACAATGTAGTCCCCGATATTTCAGAGCGTCCGATAAGAACGTGTAGGTCCAATCATTGTGAGTAATCGAGTTACTAGGAGCGCTCCCATTGTCCAAAAACAACACAGAGTTGAGGGCGGGACAATCAGTTGAACCATCAACAGCCGGAGATTTTCTGTGGATAGATACAGTAAAGAATTGATATATACTATGCACGGATTTGTTGGATACGCAGCAGTGCAGTGCGACGTTGTAGTCGTCCACAAGTCCAATTGCATGTAGCACCGCAGGGGGTAATATAGGCAGAGTTTCACCTATAGGTCACAGGCAGCCTATCATTCCAGAGGCTGGTGAGATAACCAATGGAGAGAAAGAGTCACCGCTAAGAATATGCGTCAAGACAACATCGTCGATGTTAGCCCTGTTCGGTGAGGTTAAAACTTGTCTGCGTGTGCCTCAGAATTTTGTTATCTGATGGTGAATTGATATCACAGTGAAGAGACGATTTGCATATGAATACTTTAACTGACAACAGAGAGTAAGTATTGATAACAGAGCGTCATCATAATTACGGCGCGTATTAATTGTCCAATCATGATGGCACATATGATTCACGTACTTATCGAAGACAACTCTGTCGCATCTCAATTTAATTTTTTATTGGTACATATTTGTTAAATGCACGACACCGACGAGGGAGTACCGCCACGTATTCGTGCTCAGTAGCTCGAAATTCGTTGTTGGTCTGTTTCCCCTCACCTTTGACTTATGGCACGGCACTCAACCAGTGAGTGAGTCGGGCGTACCAACACGAATGCTGGAAAACATAAACTCTTCATTTCACAAAACATGTGCGCAAAGAGAATGTTAAATCAAATATTGATAATATAAAGACATACGTGGTATTATACTGCCTTGTAGATGTAAAAATCGCACACGAACTTATCGTTGATTCAATTACGTAATTATATTTTGAATAAAGTTGCTCTGTATTTTGGTGATGATTTTCCATTTGATCAGAGCTTGCCATTCAATGGGTGTTCCCGTGATTTGATTATCATACCTTCCAGCGCTCTAATAGCCAGGTTTATCCCCATCAATTTAAATCGCCGCGGCATCGCCAGTAACAAGGTACTAAACGCGTATTCCCACTAACTAGAGAGGTAAAATTATTCCTTCCCATCCATGCGCGATCATCAAATATATTGTGACTGCTGTCAGACGGTAACAAAAAGAACATGACTACAACCAGTAATTTACCTCCATTGCGACTGTCAACAGCAAAAAAAAGGTTATGACTATAACAACTGACGCGTTGTACACAAAAGCATTGAATAATATTTAAAAAAAATAACAGTATTTACTCTGTCAATACCTTGTTGTCAGTTATTTGTGTTCAGAGGTGATTATAAAAATATTTACTAAGCCAGCATTTATGATCGATTCCATATTTCAAATGTCAATGTTTGGTCTATGCGTTGTAATTGATGTATTTCACGCTTAGTGCAGAGTCGTTCAATTCACAATTAAACAACGATAAGTCGTTTACAAATTTGTAATGATAAAACTCCCTCAGTAGAAAGAGCCACTCTATTCAGTGATTATAACGAACATGCCGAGCCGAGTACGTTGATAATTGAGAATAGCCGCGTCACCGGGCGATATGCAAACCCAACGTAATGACATACATACAATCAACGCGACGGCGGCGGACACACAAAATCGAATCACCAAAGCAATCGGCGACGCATCGAACGATTTCGGAACACAACACATTGATGTTCGCACATAATACACACAAAAGCCTCGAAGCGCACAATTTGAAAGGTAGCTAAATAACATTTAAAAACTGACCTTAACCAACATTTAAACCGATGAATATGACTAAATTGACGCGAAGCACAAGGCGACTCGTACCGTGTGTCTTTCCAGTGTACGCACTGACTGTAATTCCCGTCATGCATTTCAAAGAAAACATCAGACAGCATGTCGATGTACGGGGAGGTTACATCCAACAAGCATATCGCCGAGTAATTGAATTGTGTGTGTATATATCGAAGGGCTATCGAATAACAAAATCGTAACTTAAATCCACGTCGTCTATGATTCTGGCCACTATCAACGTATGTACGTATGTGCACTACCGGTAAGTCGCGTTGAACGTTGTTTTCACGCGTAGCACCCGTGCTTTCAAAGAGTCTCGTGCACGTTCTCGGCAACCACTCGTGATCGGTAACACAATACGCTTGTGACAGCGTGTTTACCTTTGCTCATCAGTCTCCTGCACTGATCTTTTTTTCAGGTTTAACTACCGAAAACTATCAACGTTTTGACACTCTATTTATACGATGACTTGCCTGATTACTCCCGTCGAAAATCAGCGCTGTTTCAACTTCCTATCATTATCATCCATTTGTATTGCTGTATTATTTCAGCTGTTGACTTGCCGGTAAGTAATTTCTCTGGCTCCGCATATAACAAATATCATACAAACTCCATTTGTATGACGTGCCTAGCAGATCCTAGTGGATCGGTGAGCACAATCATATGTTAGTAGGTTCGGCTTAAACCAAAAATAGATGATCAAAGTACATTGTGGGGGTGCTGCTACAAAATAACTATCATTGACCACATTGTGTGCATTTCTCGCTTTTGAATTGCTTCTTCAATAGCCCAGGCTGTAAACTCGGCTTCTCTTTTATGCTTCGTTGTTAAATCTCGAGCCGTATCTTCACTGCAATAAAAACAAGTGGGGATTGTATTCAAATCTCGATTACCCACGTTTCTCTGATTTATATGTTCTCTAACTAATTATTAATTAAAGAATTAATGTGTTCTGTAGCATAAAGTTGGCTAGATGCTGAGATAAGTCATTAATGTCGTGACAAGATGGATTTTCAAGTCAATTTTCTAGCAATATATCACTGGCAACTGGCTGCAGAGATATCACCTTGACAGCTTTGTGTAATTAGCGTAAAACAAACGGCGCATACCGGATACCAATATACCCCTTGTCTTTTCCAACGCAAAGTTCGAACTTTAATCGACCCAGTGTAACGTTTCTTTTACATCCATCGCCCACACATACCTACCGTGTATGTCATTGCAATAAATTATTCTTTATTAATTCACGTATATACAGGAATCTTATACTGGTGAATGGCTTTGAAGGTTCTGGGGATGACAATGCCATCGAGGACGCTCGCAGAGCGCAGATAATGGAAGAGAGACGCCGTAATATCAGTGTGACGTTAAAGAAGATGGTAGAATACCCCAACTACGATAAAAGTTTACGACCGGGCGCAGGAGGTAATTTCGAACCAACATCCGTTAGTTGACTATGTCTGTATAAGATAACTACACCATCTTACGCTACGCTATGTTGTGCCGCGCTGCGCCACACCTCGTTACGCTACGATGTACGTTACTCAACTTCACTACACGAGATTACAATGAACCATTTCACACCAGACAAGGTACTGTACTGCGCTCCCACAGTGCAGTGCACTAGGCTAGACTACGACTAGGTACAGTACAATACAATACTGCACTACATTGCGCTGCACTACACTACACTACATGCCATGCATGCGTGTACATGCCATACAGTTTATTTTATATGTAAATACTGAAAATGCGTACCTTACGTTACCATAATTCGGAGTTTAAAGGTAATGCCAATTATATTGCCCTATTATTATTTTTTACTGTATTATGAATCGGTCAGCAAAGTATAAAATTCGTTAAATGTTTATGTTCTATTTAATGAAATCACAACATGGTTCGCTTAATGACACCGGCTGCAACAACTCTGAACTCGAATACATAAACATGAGCGGTCGGTCATTTTGCATACATAATTCAGATTTAGGTGCGATTAAATGGTATTATCTTCCGTGACTGTAAATTGGATGGATGCGACACTATGTATGATATGAAGTTTATGCTATGTACGCGTGCGCTACCATGTAGGACGCGAGATTTAGTATATGTACGCATGCGCTACCATGTAGGACGCGAGTCTTAGTCTATGTACGCGTGCGCCACTATGTAGGACGCGAAGCCTATACTGTGTACGCGTGCGCCGCCATGATTGTGTGAGATGTATACAGAGTACGCATGCGCCGCAATGTATGACGTGATGCCTAGACTATGTGCGCGTGCGCGACTATATATGATGTGAGGCGATAACGAACCTGGGAGTAAAAATCTATGTTATCTGGGCGTGCAGAATCCCGGGCAAATATACTTGCTCTACAAACGTTATTGATGCTACTGCGCGTGTTGACACACTTCGTATTTCTACGCCCAGACCTCGAGTCGTGATTCGCAATAAACGTATCAATACGTTGTCTTGCCGTAAATCCCAAATTATCTCGTGACTTGCCCCGCTGACTTCCAACCTTATGACGTCATCATACATGATATTTTATCACCGCGCTCTTTGCCGTTTACAAATATTAACACAGTATCGTACTTAAGTCGGTGTTCTTTAGATGGTGAATGTTTTAAATTGACGATCGATTGTGTACATTGATCTAATGATTGACTAGACAACATATAGATTCGGTTGGCGTTGTGTCGACATTTTTTTTTGAGAGAGAGAGAGTGAGTGAGGTCGGTCCATACCTACAACGTCTAATAATTCCATACATAGTACGTTTTTGTTGACTTTGTTTTATTGGAAAGTAAGAAGAAATCATCGACTGAATGCGATTGTACACAAGTTATATAGATAACTGAGTGGGGACACTGCTTATATACGTTTTCAATTCAATTTGCTGGTTGAATACGACGGCAAAGCGGATTCACATCACCGCGGGCTTTCGCAATTCCAGATACTGAAGGAGTTTTGATTTTGTGTAATCAGCCATTCGGTCATCATACTATTACGTGACTAGCAGTTAAGCTAGATCGAAATACCAGTTGCCAACCAACCCCGTCGAGATTGTTGGGTGTCTCTTAACGGAGCACTAAATGTGAAATTGATGATATCTATGTAGAGACGCAAGCTGTGTGTTCCTGGGGTTCAAATGTGTAATGTAGTCGTTGACGGGTAATTATTCGCCAAAGTGCTACGATCTTATCAACAGAGAGATAGAAACTTTATCTGTGTGACGCCGATCGCAACACACACACACACAAAAACCTTTACAGAGCCCTATATAGCGGTTTCCAATTATGGTGTAATAATTATTCTGTGGGTGGAAGTGGAACTCTGACACGCTCTCACTAAGTATACATGAACTGTGTTCTCCTGGGACAGTTCGAAGAATTTGGACAATGAAAAATGACGTTTTAAATAGCGTATTAGTTGATGTAGTTACTGTGTGTTTATAAAACATGTCAATCGCACCGGTTAGTCATGTACATTACTAGCCTCCCAGTATGAATTCAGATCGCGAGATAATACAACTGGTATATAAATGAAGCTTGTGTGCACTTGACTTTGGCATTAATGGTAGTCATAGTAAGGGCGCATGCGCTAATAATTCATCTGAACACCATTGACGTCATTATTATAATCCAAATAGAGTTATTATAACTCCCGATTTGCATACGGAATGTGCAATAAATCAACGTTGTGGTTGTCACCTGGGAAGGTAGTTAGCTGCTTCAATAAGCAGGTGAAAATTGTCTTAAAATTAAAATAAAAATAACTAAAAACAAAACAAAACAACCCAATCGAATGACGCAACTGAAATTATAGACTGGTTAGTCAGGTGACGAGTTCCACTGTCGTCGACAGATTGATGCAAGCCATAGATATAAAGCCTTGAGTTTACAATGGAATTGAAACCCCCTCAATAAAAAAAAGTTGATCCGTTAGGTCAAGATGGGATGGGAATGCGATTATTAATCATTGTACGGTGTTGGGTGGTCTCTGGGTAATTTCTTGAGAGAAAAACAATAAATTATTTGGACGAGCAATCATAATTTTTTTCACAAATATTAAAATAGGCGTCGTTACCATGGTAATTAACTATTGAATTGACCATATTACTATTATAGTAATGTAATAATTTGAAACAAAACCCAGAACAATGAAACGCCTCCCAAATAATAATCCCGATATTATATAACAGTAATATTAATAACAATAAGCGGGAAGGTTTTACGTTGCACTCCCTAATTAATGACCCTGTGTCGATTGATTGATTAGTAATGTTCAGTGTTTTAGTTTAATTTCATTGGAAATTTCATTAGAGTGTTAATAACGTTGGCTAGTAATGGCCCCGTTGCCGCCTCATTGGAACTATATAGTAAATGATATGCTGATTGCATGCATTGGTTTATATAATCCGGGGACAAGACTAAACTGTCTTTCGTAACAGGGACAGGAATTAATGCTAAAAATTAATTAGTTTGCTGATTTAATACAAGAGAGTCTTGTGTCTTATTTATTCGAATGTATATGCATGTCAGATCAGTTTAAGAATACGGTATGCTCATCTAAAGCATAGTAATAACTCACTAAGTAATGGGAATAGTGGAGTTGTCGGGTCACTGAATTCCACGGCCTAAGCTAATCTATTAAACATCTGTTATAATGCAGAAACACCTTACAAAATCAAGCTTGAATTCTTTTCTGGATAAGGCATGATTAGGTCCAGTAATCAATTAAGGATTTCCAACCAAGAAAGGCGCAAATAAAACATTTCCGTTTTTTTTTTTGATATATAAAATGATATATAAAAATCTACGCTGTTGATTATCTGCACACTCTCAGTCTCAGAAAATTTACAAAAGCGGCAGATTTGATGAACAAGCATGGTTGACATAATGAAAAAGGTCAACCCGGAGGATTTAGACACAAATGGCGATAATTTCTATCACGTGATTGCGCAACAGCTGTGTGAAATATACACAGTAAAACGCATAGCATAGACCACATGGGACTATGTAACACCACGTAATGCAATATATATATAAAGAGAATACATATATATAAATGTGAGAATTTTCAGACTGAAGCTGTTCATTGTTTTATCCGTGCGACAGAGACAAGTAACTGTGATTAACGGAGGGTGTAGTTATTTTTTTTTAAATATCATCAATACTAGCATTATTGTTTCTGACAAAAATACATGTCGACCTTTAATGTGACATATGTATATATACATAAACACCGCTAATCGGCAAGCTCTGCTTCTTGATGGGGGAATAATAGGTCATACCTCGGAAGATTTTTGAGAGCGTCTTTAAGAGAATGTCACAGGGGATGTGGTGCGGGTGATCAGGTGAGATGAGGCCATAATGAGTAGGAGAAAACCGCATTACTCGATGTTCATTTATTTTATAATTTCGACGGATCAAAGAGTCAATGCATAGAGGTCAGAGGTTAACAACGATTTAGAAGACTGAAATTGCCTTCTACTGAATTGAGAAAACTGTGGCAGTTTAAAAAACCTTAATTTAGCCAAGTTTTGTAAAACATACACGTACTCAGAAACAAAACGACAATCAAGCACCAGGATGCCACGTGACCGTGTACATCTACGTCAATTTAACATAAGACGGGCAGGCGTGTAACAAATGTGTTTATTTGATTGATGTATTTTACTGCGTTGTCATCAAAGCATAATATAATGTTCAAGTGACGATTCAGGCATTATTTCCAGCTCCCATATTGATGCAATTGATAATAAAATAACGAACATATCGACAGTTTTATTTGTAATAATTTATCAAACGTTTTAACGTCTTCTCACGAAAGATCAGAAACCATTTCCTCCCAAGAGTCATTCATCTTTCAAGGTGTACGTTTCTGTCATCACGGAGATACTAAAAAATAGTCAACAATTTATTGGCACAACTTACTAAGAATACTAAAGAAGCAATAACCACACCGTGGCGTCACGTGTCAAATACGTCACGTGTCAAATACGTCACGTGTCAAATTGTTTTTCATTTTGTTTGTTGAGTCCATCTTTACAGCCGCAATTTTATGGAGGCCCTATGTTTGAACTCGAATTTGCTTTTCTGACTATACATGATTGCGTTCCGTTAACTACGTGGCTAAAAGTGTGACATAGAGACAGTAAATCTAACAGCGGCACTCTAACAGTGCCAATCGTAAGAAAAGAAAACCTTCCAATTGAACGCTAAGAACGCGTGCATATACATGTAATAATATTGGGCAGCGTTTCACGTTAACTGTAGCGGAAGATATGGTGATTGTGTCGAGAGTGAAAACAACTAGATGGCGGGGTCCTTCATGGAGCGTGAAATTGTTTATGAAGTATGACATGAAATGCTCACATGTCATTTCGCACTGATTGACGTATATGAACGAAGCATGAAGATAT